ACCAAAAACCACTTGCACCCCAAAAACTACTGAAATTTTACGTCTATATAAAATATAGATATACCTATCTATACATATCTCTATCACAAGTAAATCTATCTACCTACCTACCTACATATATATATACACACATATAACTTTCAAGGGATGCTAAGAAAGAGGCCACCATGTGACCCAAATGCCTGCTCTAAATATATTCCTTTTAAATTGGATTATATAATGCAGCAGTTATTGCTAGGTATAAGAAGTCAGGATCCCTGGCTTCAGGGAATTTGGCACCTAGTTCACTATTACTTGAATAGGTAATGAAATAGAAAATAATTTTATCAGATTTGTGAGTGTCAAGGTATCCACAGATAGGAATGTAGGAAAATGAGAAAGACAACAGATGGATTACAGCTGGAGAAAAGAACCCAACACCAGTGCAGATCTTGAATCAGAGGCAGATCCCGAAAGGGCAGTCCCGAGGTGAGGGTAAGAAGGGTGGGCCCCAACGGTGTGGAGATCAAAGTTCTTAAGCAGCAACAGGACACTCCGGGGGTCCAAGCGGATGAAGCGCAGGGAGAGGTGCAAGTGCTGAGAGGAGAGGTGGAAGCACATGCTGCCTTCCTTACACAGTGACACCCACGCCAGCCTCCTCTGGCTCAACTTCTCCCTGGCCAAGCCGATGCCGCCTGTATGACGCAGCTTTACATGGTTACAAGATGAGATCTAACAATGTCGGTACTGAGTGATTTCGAAGGACAGAAGGGGGCAAAGTCAGAAACAAATCCTTAAAATATAAAAGTAAAAACTGGCCGGGTGCGGTGGCTCAAGCCTGTAATCCCAGCACTTTGGGAGGCCGAGGCGGGTGGATCATGAGGTCAAGAGATCGAGACCATCCTGGTCAACATGGTGAAACCCCGTCTCTACTAAAAATACAAAAAATTAGCTGGGCATGGTGGCGCGTGCCTGTAATCCCAGCTACTCAGGAGGCTGAGGCAGGAGAATTGCCTGAACCCAGGAGGCGGAGGTTGCGGTGAGCCGAGATCGTGCCATTGCACTCCAGCCTGGGTAACAAGAGTGAAACTCCGTCCCAAAAAAAAAAAAAAAAAAAGTAAAAACTAAGTTTGAGTATCGCCTCAGAATAGACTATCCTTCATTGAATTATCCTATTTAAAGTAAGTCAGCTGCCATTTAAACCTTCTAATGGTTCCCACTGTTAAGAAAGGAGTCTAAAAGCTCTTTAGTCTGGTATATGGGTCTCCCTACCAGACACTCCACCCAACTCTCCAACTCCCTCTACCTCTTCCTCGAAAATATAACAGACTACAAGAGGTCTAACTAGTGTTAGTTACTCATTGACTTATTCACTCTGGTGTGAAGGATGCAAAAGTAGGAAAGACCCAGCTAAAAGGGTCAGAGGCTAGCCGTCTAGAATTATTACACATTGGTGTGAAAATTTTGTTCCCTTAACCCAGAAATCATCACTCAGGGTAATTTGAGTTCACCAGACACACCCCTCCATGCAGCCATAATTTTATCCCTCAACCACTGGCTGTCATTAGCATTCTATTTCGAATTTTCTCCTGATTAAACACAGTATTGCCTTAAAATTATGATTCCTCTTTTTTTTTTTTTCCATGCGATGGACTCTCGCTCTGCTGCCTAGGCTGAAATGCAGTGGCGTGATCTCGGCACACTGCAACCTCCGCCTCCCAGGTTAAAGTGATTCTCCTGGCTCAGCCTCCCGGGTAGCTGGGACTACGGGCCTCAGAACTCCAATACGGAAAACGGCAAGAATAATACCTATTTCACAGTGTTTGTGATGATTAAATGACAAAGGCTACATGGTGCTTTCTAGACCTAACAGTGACGCTGCCTGGAGAAAAAGGCAAGGTCCTCAGCATAGCAGCAGTAGCTGTTACACTTGCAGTTGCGGTAGCAGCAGTAACAGCACGGAAGCAGAAACTGCAACAGCTCACGTTATAGGTCAGGGTATTTGCCCTGGGTTACAGAGGTACTGAGGTGGTATTTGAACTCTTTCTCATGCCAAAATTGAATTTTCCACACATTTCAATCAGTTATCACAATAATTTCATGGGGTAGCTACTACTAGTATCCTCATTAACTTGACCAAAGTAGTAAGTGGCAGCACTAGCATCTGTCCTTGACCACTGTGCTGTACATACGGATTATAAACCTGAAAACTACACAAGTTGTTTACCACGAGCAGCTAGTCCAATATGCTAATATTCACTTCAATTCACCTGGAAGGGAGACCAGACAAGTATGTAAATGTAGGCTCTCATTTTTGCCGAATCATGCCACATTAATGAATGATGAGTCTATATCCAAAATTTCCCCACCAAGTAACCTGCCCAAACAGACTACCAGTCTCCAGGTGAAGAAGTCAACTAGCTTTGACAACAACGAAAAGAACTAGCATAAGAAAAAAGCGTAAGAATTTACACAGCATTTTCATTCTCATACATAACAATGCATGGTTATGACCCTCCCATGAGGGCAGGGACTGTGTCTCAGTAATGCTCACACACACTCATTTGCCCTCTCACCTCCCACCATGGGATAACACAGTAACAAGGACCTCACCAAATGCCAGTGCCATGTTCTTGGACTTCCCAGCCTCCAGATTGTTAGAAATAAGTTTCTTTTCTTTGTAAATTACGTACTCTCCAGTACTCTGTTATGGCAGCAGAAACCAGACTAAGGCAGTGGATGTATCATTTTACATTCCCACCAGTGGAAACATAAACAGTGCACAAGAGTTCCAATTTCTCCACATCCTTGCCCAAACGTGTTATTTTCAGTTTGCTGATAGTAGCCATCCTAATGGGTACCAAGTGGTATATCACTGTGGTTTGTTGTTTAATGGGTACAGAGTTTCTGATATACAAGATGAAAAAGTTCTAGAGGTTGGCACAATGTGAACATACTTAACACACTGAACTGTACATTAAAAAATGGTTACGCTAACAGTCTGGCATGGTGGCCCACGCCTGTACTCCCAGCTGCTGGGGAGGCTGAGGTGGGAGGACTGCTTGAGGCCATGAGTTTAAGGCTCTAGTGCACGATGATCACGTGTGTGAGTGGCCACTGCACTCCAGCCTGGGCAACAGAGCATGACCTTGCCTTATACCTTCTCCAAAAAAAAAAAAATGGTTGTAATAGCAACCTTTATATTATGTATGATTTACTACAATTTTTTGACAAAAGCTATTGTCAAAATCTAGTCAAAGATTCCATAGGGTAAACAAGGGCTGCGACAAAAAAAGGGAATACCTAAGACCTTGAGATGGCCTTATGTGTAACTGATGAGGTCTACTGACCAGCATGAGCTAAAAAGTTAAAAGTGAAGAAGCTGAGGATAACCTTGAGGTTTCCAACTTAGCAGGTAATATTAATCAGTATACGAGATGAACACTTTACTGAGTAAGAATATTCATTCATACACTCATGCTTTCACTGACAAACTTTTCTTTCCTTTTTCAGCACCTGCTATGTGCCAACCACTGACTGGAAATGTGGAATGAAGAATAAAAAGGGAAGAATCCTTGCCCTCAGGGCACCAACAATCTAATGGAAATGTGTTACAATAACAAGTAGCTATGTGACACTACAAGATGGATGAATGATGTGATTAAATGACAGCTCATCTCCTCTGAAGAAAAATAAAGCAGGGGCAAGGGGAAGTGACAACTGAGCAGAACCTTGAACGATGTAAGGATGCACCTAATACAACTTTATCAATAAAAGCAGAACATTTTTAGTCCACCATCCCCATGCAGTTATGTAATAAATCATTAATTTAGATAGACTATGGAAAATAATCAGCTTGACTATTAAAATGCAATTAAACTGCATTCTTCTTGTATTCAGGTGTTCCTTACTGCAAAAAAGTTACTAATTTTTTGCACTGTGTATCGTATTATCTCTTTTAGGTCAAATAATTCTCTATCCACAATGGGGATATAAATACACAGGGAAAGGAGCACTGGAATTGGACTTATAAACCTGGTATTTCATATGACGTTAAAAGCATAAGCTTTTCCTTTTTGTTAAAGATATGAAAGAAGAAAAACGACCTAATTAGCGAAAGACTACAAAAAGTACATAAAGCTTAACTACTACAACCTAAATACAAAGTAAGTAAGTCCAAAGCCACTAAAACTCGTGACTACAATCAAAAGATTAACACCTTTAAAAGATTCTGATCATTAGATCTGAGGTTTCTGAATAAATGTTGTTATTTTCCTAAGGCAACATTTCTAATAAGGTAAGGAAAAATGTGTGCTATTGAAATGAAAAGTGTACTGCAAATTATTTTATCCAATCCCCTTCATTTACAGGTCAAGAAACAGAATCCCTTGTGCCTTACCATGGAAGTTTAGGGGAAAAAAAATACACACACACACACACACACACACACACACACACACACACACACACACACAAGAAACTGAATCCCAACAAGGTCACATAAAGAACTATAATCATAGCAAGGCACAGGGCCAAAGTCTCAGAACTCCTAGGTCACTGCTTTTCCTACTACAGTAACTGTGACACCATGGATGGGTATCAATTTTATTTTAGTCCGAATTATCCATCAAAAACCTACACACCTAATAGAGTGCATCACAAATAATCATACCCATGACATAAACAAATGAGCACACCTCAAGTATGCAACTTAATACACAGCTACATAAATTACTATTCTAAAATCCAGGCACATGCATAAGATCTTGTTCTTAATGTTTTTCTTAACATGCATTTACTGAATAATGGCACCAACCTGGATTCTGCACCCCTCCATAAATCACTGCCTATTGTGGCTAAGCTATAATGTTAACCAACCAATTTAAAACCATTACCGACACAGAAACATGTATTTAGAGATTCTGTGCCAACTCAGAAACCACACAGCTTTTTCAGTCCTGTGCATAGAATACCCTATATGGAATGCTAAAGACTCAAAACCACGCTGGTTGGGGGATTACCTTTCTTGATTGTTCAGTTTGGGAAACATGGCTTGTACCAATTCCGAACTTTTCAGAAAGAGGTCTGTAATAATCAAGAACCTAGGGAAAAAAGAGGAGGAAAGTTTGGTTACTAGAAACACAGTAAGACCGACATGCCCTTATCCACTTTATAAGCACAGCTTATACACAAAAGCATTTCTTTTCTGTGAATTTTTGCTATGCTGTAATCGTAAATGTTTTAAAAGGTTCACATATTATTAATCTATTAGCAGCTAAAAGGAAAATCTTAAAAACATTTTTCTCCAGTTTTACTTCTGAAAGCTTTATTGAAATAATTTAAACTGACTCAACTAGAAGACGGGGCTGCTATGGCTTTTATCTAAGTTGAGAAAGAAAAAATTCTTCACTTAGCAACAAGATCAGGTATAAACAAAAAACATACTAAATTGTTTTAGTCAGAAGCTAACTGCTATAATGAGCCAGAGAAAGGCTTGTCACACTTCCCTTTAAACATACGCCAACAACACAGTGATGAATACTGGCTTGATTATTCACCTTTAAGAATTCTCAAGTTACCAAAAAAACACCCTCACTGTCAAGCTATGTATGCACTCATCTAAACTTAGAGATCAACTTATGGAAACCCCAAGGCAAAGATTATAGGCAAAGTTCTTCAAAGTACCCCTGTGACAACTAAAAAGATTGAACAGTATTATTAATTAATTCTGAATTATATTTACCAGAGGACATCTGAGGGAAAGACTGAAGAACTAAGGAATATACCGTTTATAACCAGGTTATAGTAATAAAAATTGTAAGCATTAAATACATTGACACATAGTTGAACCACTTGTTAACAAATAAAATATAATAAAACTATATTCAGTCTGATAACCAAATGAAGCACCTTAACTCCTACAATACACTGTCACTTCACATAAAAGCGAAATCCAAATACATATTCTATTTCCTCTACAGCATTTAAAATAGCTGATCAACACTCTGATGTAAAACATTCTTAACAATAATGCATAATATTTGAAATTCTCAAACAGCATTTCTATCAATCTGTGCAGGTCAATAGAAATCCATACATTCCAAGATGGATACACAAACTAAATTGAGATCTTAAAGCTCATTCATAATTCAGGTACTTAAAATTCAAAGCATTTTCCCACAGGAACATCAAAAACAAATATTCCAAGTCACAAGTCATACTTCTAAACAATATATACCACTTTTAGACAGATAATTTACAGAAGAACATGTTAAATGCTGGCAGACACACACTAAGAATTGTGTAATAGAAACAAATATATCTAACCAACAGGCTGGGGGCAAGAGGGGGTGATGGACAGGGGGCAAGAAGATCAAAGAGGCTAGAGGAGCTGTTTTGTCAATCACTAAAAGAAGGAAAAGAGGACAGCACTCCTAGAAAAGGAAAGAAAGGACTTAGAAAAACCATAAGAAGGAAAGAGCAGCTGTGTGTCTGGGGAACTATAAGCAACAAAATACTATTAGGGCTTCAAAAGGAAGCCAGGACTCAAAAGCATGGGTCTTCAGAGTGTCTCAGGTGAAGAAAGTTGTCTCAACCAAGGTTTGAGTTTATTGAAGACTGAGGTGGTAACTACATATTCTTTCATAATGCTGGAAATTAGTGCTCTCTTTTTTCTTGATCAATTTTGTTGACCAAAAGACCACTTTTGCCTTTGTGAATTTTTTCCATTGTTTTTGTCTTATGTTTCATTGATTTCTGCCCTCATCTTTTATTTCCTTCTTTCTTACTTACTCAGGACTTACTGTCCTCTTCTTTCTCTACCTTCTTAAAGTAGAACTCTGGGTCACTGATTTCAGACCTTTTTTTTTTTAATTGTACTTTAAGTTCTGGGGTACATGTGCAGATCTTGCAGGATTGCTGCATAGGTACACACATGCCATGGTGGTTTGCTGTCTCCATCCCCAGACCTTTCTTTATTAATAGAAACATTCAAGGACAGTGGCTCACACCTGTATTTCCAGCACCTGGAAGACTGAGGTGGGTAGACTTCCTGAGGCCAGGAGTTTGAGACCAGCCTGGCCACATAGCGTAGTGAAACCCCATCTCTACCAAAATCGTAAAAAAATAGCTGGATGTGGTGGTGCATGCCTGTAATCCCAGCTACTCAAGAGGCTGAGGTATGAGAATCGCTTGAACACAGGAGGCAGAGGTTGCAGTGAGCCAAGATTGTGCCACTGCACTACAGCGTGTATAACAGATTAAGACTTTGTCTCAAAAAAAAAAAAAGGCATTCCAAGCAACAAACTCTCCTCTAAGCACTGCTTTAGTTTTTTGTTGTTGTTTGTTTAAAAGACCGGGTCTCGCCCTGCCACCCTAGCTGGAGTGCAGTTGTACGATCATAGCTCACTGTACCCTCAAACTTCTAGGTTCAAACAACTCTCCCAGCTCAGTCTCCCAAGTAGATAGGACTACACACATGTGCCACCACACCCAGCTTTTTTTTATTTTTATTTTTTTGGTAGAGACAGTGTCTTACTATGCTGCCCTGGCTGGTCCTGAACTTCTGGCCTCAAGCCATCCTCCCTTCTCGGACTCCCAAAGTGCTGGGATTACAGGCATGAGCCACCACACTGGGCTGCTTTTCCTTTATCCCACAAAACTTGATACTTCAGTTCAAAGTATTTCTAATTTACCTGTGATTTCTTCTTTGACACTACATGTGCTAATTTCCAAAAGTTTGGAATGTTTCTAGAAATCATGTTATGGATAAGAGAAAGTACTCTATGATTTCAATCCCTAACACATTTACTGAGCCTCTTCTACAGCCCAGCCTATGGTCTGCCTTGGTGAACATGACATATGTAGGTGAAAAGAAAGCAGAGTTTGGAAGTGCTGAGGGAAGGTCTACAAACATCACTCAGGTGAAGGGGGCTACCTACCACAGTACTACCGAGAGCATCTAGAGCAGGGGTGTCCAATCTTTTGGCTTCGCTGGGCCACACTGGAAAAGAATAATTGTCTTGGGGCACATATAAAATACACTAACACTAACAATGGCTGACGAGCTTTTTTTTTTTTTT